GGTACAATTATGGAGGCCCTTCATAATGCAGAGGTCAACTGCCTGCTCTGCCAATAGTTAGAAATGGCACTATAGAAAGCAGTGTTCAATAAATTTTCTAAATTCTGCTGAGGTGAAATTCAGTGCAGTCATGTATCGTGATATGTACCGTATCGTGGCCTCTGTATCGCGATACGTATCGTATCGTGACTTTGCTGGTGATACACAGCCCTAGTAAACACTAAATAGCTATCTAAAAAAATTTTTTGTTGAGGATCACATTTGATACACTGGGCTCTTATGGCTTACATAGTATAATAAAGGAGAATACGGAGTTCATATTCGAGGAAAGAAAAAAAAATGGTGCAAATATAGATATATACATGGGAGAAAAAGTAAGATGAAATTCTAATAGACTGTAATGTGAATCAATTAGATATTACAGTATAGCTAATTGCATAATATGCATATAATGCTCTATATTGCCACTCTATGTCTACCAATAATGTGTGTTAGTAAGTAACTCAGTAAAGACTTGACAGCAAAAAAGAAATAAATAAATACATATTACCACCTGTAAAATGCTTTTTAAAATGTCACATGTAAACTGCATTTTATTTGTTTTAAAAAGTATAAACTACCAATCAGATGACAGGAGGCATGTAGTAGATTGTGTACAACTGTTTTTTCAGCAAATTTTTGATCATGCTGTTAAGCCCTTTGAAATGTGTTTTTCAAATATGATACAGCAGGCTTTATAGCAGGGGTGGGGAACGTTGATCCTGGAGGGCCGGTGTCCCTGCAGAGTTTAGCTCCAACCCTAATCAAAAACACCTGAACCAGCTAATCAAGGTCTTTGGGATGCATTTAGGTTTTTTTTTTCCTAGGGTTTTTCAGGGTTGGAACTAAACTCTGCAGGAGAGTGGCCCTCCAGGATCAACGTTCCCCACCCCTGCTTTATAGGGTTAAGTGCCTGAACCTGACCAGTTAATTAAAGTTAAAGTCTGGCATAGACCTACCTTTTATAGAAATACCTAAACTACAATGTTACAAAGTAACATTACAAAGGATATTGAAGGACAAGATTACGCTCTATGTACCTTGCTTCTGCCTCCTTCTTCCCATCTTCAAGGCTCCTCCAGTTAATATGGTCCCCAAATCCTTGAATACACATACAAGTCCATTATAGATATTTAACATGATACATCCGGTTAGGAACAAGTGTACCTGTTGGAACAAGCCACGACTACAACCACAGAACAAAGAGATCTGCAACAATGCACCTGTGATCAGAGATCTCATCATAGTCTTTCGTCCAATACACAATGCCATGACAGAGGCACGTCAGTCAAAGTGCACAATTTTACATCTAAATACATCTGGTCATTTATGATCACTAGTCTTAACTGCGGCGCAAAATCCCATCAACTGAGGTTTATAATGAGCTCAACCTTTAATAAAACATACTCGTTCACTAATACAGGAATAGATATAATATTGTATTTTAGCAGTAGACATTTAGCCTTACTGAGATTTATTTCGGTCAATCGGGGGTTAACGTTACATTAGATCCGCGTTCCGGGTCAGAAGCCGGTGGTCTAGCACAGCTAGCGTTGATAGGGATTATTTGATCCAATGTCTAAATTTATAAACATTTTTACCTCGTCCTTTGCCATCGGCTAACACCTCTCCGAAATATGACGCAATAAAAACCAGCATAAAAGAAACCAAGGCAATGTTGAATAAAGACGACGGCATTTTCATTCCGAGGGTCGTTAGCCTTGAGCTGCCTGGATGTGACGGACAGTAGGAGAGCGTTGATGACTTCTTCTTCTTCTTCTTCTTTTTGTTCAATGGCCGTTCACTCCTCAGGAGTATTACCGCCACCTACTGTATATCTTGCGGAAGCCCATTTCCGCCACTGAATAAAAAATGTTATTGCAAAAGGTTATTGCGACTTTTTATCTCACAATTCTGACTTTTTTTTTCACAGAATTGTGAGACATAAGCTCGCAATTGTGAGTTATAAAGTCAGAATTGCGAGATATAAACTCACAATTCTGACTTTTTTTTTCACAGAATTGTGAGACATAAGCTCGCAATTGTGAGTTATAAAGTCAGAATTGCGAGATATAAACTCACAATTCTGACTTTTTTTTTCACAGAATTGTGAGACATAAGCTCGCAATTGTGAGTTATAAAGTCAGAATTGCGAGATATAAACTCACAATTCTGACTTTTTTTTTCACAGAATTGTGAGACATAAGCTCGCAATTGTGAGTTATAAAGTCAGAATTGCGAGATATAAACTCACAATTCTGACTTTTTTTTTCACAGAATTGTGAGACATAAGCTCGCAATTGTGAGTTATAAAGTCAGAATTGCGAGATATAAACTCACAATTCTGACTTTTTTTTTCACAGAATTGTGAGACATAAGCTCGCAATTGTGAGTTATAAAGTCAGAATTGCGAGATATAAACTCACAATTCTGACTTTTTTTCTCTCAGAATTGCGTGATATAAACTCAAAATTGCGAGTTATAAAGTCAGAATTGCGTGATATAAACTCGCAATTGCAATTGCGACTGATATGTTCTCAGAATTGCTAGTTTATATCTCACAATTCTGACTTTATAACTCACGATTATAAAGTCACAATTATAATTATAAAATTATAAAGTCAGAATTGCAAGATATAAACTCATATCACAATCAGAATTGTGAGTCTATATCACGCAATTCTGACTTTATTTCTCAGAATTGCGAGTTTATATCTCACAATTTTGACTTTTTAACTTGCGAGTTTAGCCTATATCACGCAATTCTGTGAAAAAAAGTCAGAATTGCGAGTTTGTATCACGAAAGTATGAGAGAAAAGGTCAGAATTGTGACATAAAAAGTCGCAATTACCTTTTTTATTTTTTATTCAGTTGCAGAAATGGGCTTCAATATGAATCTGTATTGCTATCAAGAAAAAATAAAATAATAAAATTGTAAGGCCCCACCCACCCCAGAGGATCAGAGCCCAAGCTTCAGCTGGCGCTGCGTGTTCAGCTCCTCCAGCTTCCGCACTGGGCTCCTCAACCTCCGAGATGGGCAGAAGCATCATGATCCTCATCCTCAAACACTAAACCATGTGGTCTAGTCCTGTAAGCTCTAAAAATGTTAAAACAACCTTAAATATCCACGACGCTCACTGACCTGTTTCTTTATATTGCTAAAAAGACGCTGATCATCATATTTACTACATTTAAAAAGCATGCTCTACTGTTTCAAAAACATCACATTCATCACACGTACCATTTTCATGCTTCCCCATTAATGCAAGTGTTGAATTTAGTCGTGTGTGTCCCATCCTTACTCTAGAAATCATTACTTCTTCTTTTCTGTGCCTTCCATAAAACTGTTATTTTTTCCATATGATTTTACAATATAATACCACCTACCTGTGCTGCTATTTTCCCATCTTTGTTGCCATATTCTTATTATTTTCCTGTTAATTACTGATTTTATCTCATTTCTTCCCAGAGGTACCTTAACATCCACCAAGTTTTTCATGAATGCTTATTTTGCTAACTTATCCGCTGTTTCATTCCCTACTATCCTGATATGTGCCAGTACCCAACAAAAAGTATACAATTATACCCTCTATTTTCAGTCTGTACAGTAATGTATACATTTCTACTAGCAGCTCTATCAGTTTTTGTCGACAGTATACTCTTAAGAGCTGACGAAGAATCTGAGCAAACTGGTAGCATCTAGAGGGGTTGACCTTGTTGCTCCACAGCAGATTCTAAGTCCAGTTTCTTTAATTCTGGTTTTGCTGCAGCACCATACACTGCACTAAAGTATTAAGGCTTGATATACATGTAACAGTGCATTTTTTCTTGCTCCCCATTCATACTTAGCTATTGAAGTCATGCAATTTATTACTCCTTTGCATTTTTTTTCAATTTTCTTAATATGTCTCTTCCAAGTTAATTTCTTATCAAAGATTAATCCAAGATATTTGAACTCTGTCACTCTTTCTAACAATTGGTCATATAATTTCAGAGTCATTTGTTCCATTTTCTTTTTCTTTGTAAAAACCATTGAGAATTCCTAAATTCCTACCTCTTTTCCATACTGCACCATCATCTGCATATAATGTCTTCCCAATGCTTGGTTGAACTCTTTCAAATATATCATTAATCAATAATCATTAAATGAAATAAAATTGGACTGATTACACTTCCTTGTGGAGTCCCACTCAGGATATCATACGATGCTGACATTTCTTCACCTATTCTTACCTGGAATGTACGCTCAAACAAAAAATCTAATATCCAATTATACATTCTCCCCCCTATTCCGATTTTATTTAACTTAATTAACAGTCCCTCCCTCCATAAAGTGTCATATGCCTTTTCAATGTCAAAGAAAGCTGCAACAAGAAATTATTTCATAGAGCTATTTTAACATAACTTTCAAATAATATCAGAGCATCCATTGTAGATCTTTTCTTCCTAAAACCACTCTGAGCTGATGATAATATTTCTTTTTTCTCCAAAAACTAATTCAACCTTCTTACTATCATTTTCTCCATTACCTTGCATAATGTAGATGTAAGAGCAATTGGCCTATAGCTATTAGATTTTGTTGCATCTTTACCTGGTTTCACTACTGGTATCACTATTGCACTTTTCCAATCTTTGGGTAAGGTGCCTTCATTCATATATGATTATATAAATCCAATCATGCTTTAATGGCTTCGTCTGGTGAATTTTTTAACATATCATGTCTCTCCCTGGCGTTGTATTCTTTGAATTTGTAATGGCTATTTTTAACTCAAAAGAATTAAAATCCTCATCCATATTACTATCAACGTTTTTTCATACAAACATTCTCATATATTTTACTTGGTTCTTGTCTTCTTTTTAAGAACTTATCATTCAAGTTTTCAATACTATGAACTTTAGCAAAAGTTTTAGCTAAGACTTCTGTCTTTTCTTTGTTCGTTATGGCCATTTTCGCGCGATGATGACGTCAGATGCGTCACATTTTATGGACCCCTTTTCATGGACTCAAGTGACGCATTTCCACAATTATTGACATTGCAAATAAGCGAAGTTGTTTATTTTTTCATTAAATAAATATGTATAACACTATAGGCTCCTTATATTGCCTAGCACTGAATTACAAAAACAAGTGGCACTAAATATTTTTTTCTAAATTTTCTATGTTCTATTGTTATAGATCTTACTTTGAACAATTCATCTGTGTGTAGCCTATGTTTCAATTAAAAAAAAAAATATTCTGACCTTGTAATGTTTAATCAAAATGTCATAACTGGACATATACAGCGCCATTGCCCAAGTTCGAATCCCGAGGACCCTTCCCGATCCTCAGGGGCGGACTTAACCAATAAGCGAAGTAAGCGGCCACTTAGGGCCCTGAGGAATCAGGGTGCCCCATCTGATACTGGCGAAACGTATTTACCAAACGCTCCAGTGTGTATTTGTGTAATGGAAAGCCTCAAATGTTCACTTGAAATGCCTTGAAAATGTTCACATTTTCGCTTGAAATGCCGAGTTTTTGTCAGGTGCTGAGTTCTGCAAGCTCGCCAATCTTCTCATTATAACAACGTGTAGATACAATGTAAATAAGAAATTCATTGTGCAGTGCAGACAGCTTCATTGATTAACGGAACATTGTGAGATCGTGATGAACTGAAGTGACGCGAAGGACAGCTTTTAGTGATTAGAAGTAGATTAGAAGTAGTAGAAGTAGAAGTAGATTAGAGAAGTAGCACTTTCAAGGTGGTATAATACTGTCTGACCTTCTCAGAACGGATATATTAACCTCAGAGATTGTGTTTTGTGTCAGGATTTTATTTGTCTTGATGTTTTAAAATCGCTTGCTTATTGTGTGCTTTGGCGCACCAACGCGAACTGCCGCGTACTCGTCTAAATGCACGAATGCGATGACAGGAGATTTTCGAGAACAGATTGCATTTTCGAATTTGTTTCTCAGCAAACCCTACTGTATGCCTTAAGAACACTCGGAATATGGAGCGAGTTGCATGGGATAATTTTTTATGACATTTGAATCTTTTTTGTAAAAATATTGAAGTTTACAGTTTATTAAATGTACAAGTGCAAGCATTTTTTAAAATATAATGTCTTCTTTTGTGATCCGAAAAAAATAAGGTAGCCGAATATGGCTTTAGAACAGCATCAGGTTGACTAATTATTTATTTAAGTTATGGAGGGGTAAATAAACTAGTTATAGCTATAACCTATGAGAGAGAGAGAGAGAGAGAGAGAGCAAAATAAGGGTTAGGCGTAAAAAGGCCCCCCTATCTTTCTCCCACTTTGCTTCCTGTCAGCTCTGATCTGTCCTAATACAGGCAAAAATGCCATAAATCTAAAAAAATAATAATAATAGAATGAAAGTGATCGCGTGATAATATTTCAACGTGATTTCCATCATTTTGACATACAGCAAATATTTAATTTACCTTTTTTTAGTAACATTCCAGTGAACATTCCTGATTAAAAGTGAAAAAAAAAAACAAAAAACATTTTAAAGCATCCCTGTGAAAACAAACCTGGAAAGGGCATGAGTATTTGAGAGAAAAATTAGAGACTCTTCAATTATTTATTCATGGGATATACTGTAAATTAAATCGGGGGCTAGACCACAAATGCACAGTATATGTTGTCTTGTTTCATATTGTTACAGTGGAATAGAAAGGTGGAAAACAATTAGGAAAAAGAAAGCTCTTTGTGGATATACTCATTAAAATACCAAGCATTATGTTATTCTCCTGACATCTGAATATGAATCATGAAGGAAAATGTACATCTCATTC